CAAAAACAAAAAATCAATGCGGCGACGCAAACACACACCACGCAGGTGACCCGGGTGAGCTCTGCACACACAAACCCTAAACCCTAAACCCTAAACCCTAAACCCTAAACAATAAACCCTAAACCCTAAACCCTAAAATCTTTTAAACCCTAAACCCTAAACCCTAAGCCCTAAACCCTAGGCTCTTGTAAACCCTAAACCCTAAACCCTAAACCATAGAGCTTAGAGCTTAAACCATAGCTGCAGGCGCTAGACCTTAATGTATAAACACTACATCCTAACCCCTAAAACATAAATCCTAAACCCTAAACCCTAAACCCTAAACCCTCGAGCCTGGGTGATGTTTGTTTAGGGTTTAGGGTTTATAAGGGTTTAGGGTTTACACAAATAAATAAAAAAATAAAAATAAATAAGTATAACTACCCCTTTCTTTTTTTATATCTCTTTGTGCTGCCTATTCTCTCTAAACGCTAAATATTTATTAGTGTGTATTAGGGTTTATTAGGGTTTAGGGTTTATAAGGGTTTAGGGTTTATAAGGGTTTGTGGTTACCCTTTTTTTTTTTTAATATCTTGTATTTTTGTTCTTTGTCTTTGTGCTGCTTCGATTGCTCTTTTTGCGTTTTCTATAAAATTTATATCTTTTATAAAATTTTTGTTTTTTATATTTTTTAGTGAAATATAATTCACACGAAGAGGAATACGAGCAGCAGGTAGCTCCCCTGCTGCTGCTGCTGCTGCTGCTGCTGCTGCTGTTGTTGCTGGTGCTGCTGCTGCTGCTGGTGCTGCTGCTGCTGCTGCTGCTGGTGGTGGTGCTGCTGCTGTTGTTGCTGCTGCTGAAGAGGGGGAGGGAGAGAGGGGTGGGGATCGGCTGCTAGAGAGAGACGCGAAAAGCGGTGCTGCTGCTGTTGCTGCTGCTGCTGCTGCTGCTGCTGCTGCTGCTGCAGTAGCTGCATGCGAATCTGTTGCTGCTGCAGTTGCTGCTGCTGCTGCTGCAGTTGAGGATGTATCATCGTTCCCCTGTGCAGCAGCATCAGCAGTAGCTGCAGCAGCAACAGCAGCAGCAGCAGCAGCTTTTGCTGCTGCTGTTGCTGCTGCTGCTGCTGCTTCTCCCTCTATATCTGCTCGTCTGGGGTCCTGGCTGCGGGTGTGTATTATATGCTGCTGCAGCAGCAAATGCTGCTTGTAGCAGCAGAGGCAGCAGCTACGGATTAGACACTGAGGGCAACGATAGGGGGGAGAGGGCTTGCTGCAGATGAAACACCGCGAGTCTCGTCTTGCTGCTGCTGCTGCTGCTGCTGCTGCTGCTGCTGGTGATGGTTGTGGTGGTGCTGCTGCTGCTGTTGGTGCTGCTTCTTCTCCTGCTGTCCAGGATGCATCAGCTGCTTCTTTCCCTGCAGCAGCAGCAGCAGAAGCAGCAGGTGCTGCTGTTGTTGCTGCTGGTGTTGGTGTTGCTGCGCCTGTAGCTGCATCAGCTGTCGCTGCTGCTGCTGCTGCTGCTGCTGCTGCTGGGAGGACTGGCAGAGCTGCCGGGGCCACCGCAGGTGTCGCCATTCGCGAGGATCCCTAGCTGCAACAGCAGCAGCAGATGCTGCTGCTGCTGCTGCTGCTGTTGCTGCTGCTGCTGCTGCTGCTGCAGCTGCTGCTTCAGTTGCAGCTGGCTGCGGTCACTGCTCCCAGAGGGGCAAGCGTGGCCCCCTGCAATTCTCCTGCTGCTGCTGCTGTTGCTGCTGCTGCTGCTGTTGCTGTTGTTGCTCTTGCTGCTGCAGTTGCTGCAGTTGCTGCTGTTGCTGCTGTTGCTGCTGTTGCTGCTGCTGCTGGTGTCGCTGCTGCTGCCGCCGTTTATTGTGCTGCTGCAGTTCTTTGTCGATCTGATGTGCTGCTGCTGTGGCTGCAGCAAGGCAACAGCAGCAGCAGCAGCAGCAACAGCAGCAGCAGCAGCAGCAGCAGCAGCGGCTCAGCTACCCGTGCAGTCTCGAGGCTATCGAGAAAGCCCCCAAACCCTAAACCCTAAACCCTAAACCCTAAACCCTAAACCCTGCCCCCAGGGTTTGACTGTAAGGCATTAGGCTCTCATAAACAAAAACTTCTGCTGCATTTTCTGAGTTTTCTTCTGCTGCTGCTCCCGCAGCAGCAGCAGCAGCAGCAGCAGCAGCAGCAGCAAAGAAGCCTGAGGGGCCCCCAGGCAGCTGTAGCGGCGCCCCACACATCATTGATCCTTCTTTCTGTCTGTACACCTGAAATATATATTTATTATTTAAATATAAAAATAAATAATTATATTTTTATTAAAATATTTATTAATTAACTGCTGCAGGCAGCAGCGCATACTAGTGTTGCTGAGGCTGCTGCTGCCGAAGCGATCCTAGGGTTTAGGGTTTAGGGTTTAGGGTTTAGGGTTTAGGTTTCTTCTTTAACTGAGGACGCTAGCGATGCCCCCTGCAGCAGAAGGCCCCTCGGGGTCAGCAGGTGCGTCGACAGCAGCAGCAGCATCAGCAGCAGCAGCAGCAGCAGCAGCAGCAACTGCAACAGCAGCAGCAACAGCAGCAGGAACACTGCAGCAGGCTGATCCGCAGCAGCAGCAGATGTCATTCAAAAGACAAGAAAGCAGCAAATACAGCTGCAGCAGCAGCAGCAGCATCTGCAACAGCAGCAGCAGCAGCAACAGCAGCAGCAGCAGCAGCGATGATGAAGCTTCCAGTGTATGTACACTCGAAGACGACGACTCACAGGAGGAGAGCCCCCCGGCCCGCTGCCTTCTTTGCCCCTTCAGCTGCAGCAGCAGCAGCAGCAGCAGCAGCTGCAACAGCAGCAGCAGCAGCAGCAGCAGTGGAAGGACCCCTGCTGCTGTTGTGCTGCAGCACATGCGAGAAGCCCACGGCCTCGATTTGACAGCAAAACGCAGATGGCTGCTGCCAAGGCAGCAGCAGCAGCAGCAGCAGCAACAGCAGCAGCAGCAGCAGCAGCAGCAACAGCAGCAGCAGCAGCAGGATGAGCTGCCTCCGCTAAACCACTACACGCGTATAGCGTTGGTTTCTTTCTTACGTCAGAAGCAGAAGCAGCATGAGCAGCAGCAGCAGCAGCAGCAGCAACAGCAGCAGCAGCAACAGCAGCAGCAGCAGCAGCAGCAGCAGCAAGAGTACAAAGAAGTGATAGATGCTTTGTTTAGTCTGAATGCTGCTTCTGCTGTTTTCTGCTGCCCCGATGATCTGCTGCTTGCTGCTGACCCTGAGGACCCTCTTCTTTGGGATGGCGACGACTGCAGCAGCGACGATGAACCTGCTGCTGCTGCTGCTGCTGCTGCTGCTGCTGCTGGTACTGCAGCAGCAGCAGGAGCAGCAGCAGCAGCAGGAGAAGGGTTTTTGCCTGTGGTGACGCCCCACAACACAGAAGTGTATGAGCGTTTGCTGCAGCACCGCAT